GTAAGAAGAGGAACTCAGCGAGAGCTGTGAAGAAGAGGATAGAAATGAGAAACACTGTTTAAGATAAGGTGGGGAAGATGGCAGGAAAAGTATAGTATACAGAACCGTTAGAGTGTGTAGATCTCTGCGACGGCGAATAGGGAGTCAATTTAGTTTATTACGGAAGTGAGACACGTGGTCGAATTTACGGAGATTATAAATGAACCTGATACAAATATTCTGCAGTCTAGTCGCTCTAATTTATTGAGGAGTTCCTCCGAGAGATCGGTGTAGCAAACGTCAGCGTAGTCGATGATGGACAACAACAGAGACTTTGCCAAGTTGATTTTGGTGCTGATCGGCAAAAAGTCTATATTTTTCCGCATATAGCAATAAGTCGTAAAATTTTACGATCTTACACCTCACTGTCATAACTCTTTGACGCGTGCATTTTAATGAAGACCTTATACACTATCCTTTAAAGGTGACTTTTTAATGTTTCAATAATGCCTTATATTGCTTAGACTACGCAATCATCTTACGGAGCCACGTGGATTGTCCAGTGTACCTTTTGGACAGGTTTCGGGCATGATTTTGTTCGTGTTGGTGTATCTAGGGTATTTAATATCGTTGTTAGTACATCATACTGCCTTTTTTTTTTTTTATTCAAATAGAGATGGCATGACGTTAGATGGTTAGGTTTTAAATTTGAATGAAAAATTTAGGTGCAAATGTGCTTATTTGCAAAATTATTGTAATACTTACTATCCGACCCGGCATTGCCCTGCCTAAAAATATAAAAAAATAAAATAAGCAGACTGCATCGCTACCAAGCAAAAACTTGTGTGGTGAGTTTTCTTTAATTTTCTGCGCAAGTTCTTTTTTTTGGTTATTAACTTCCTATAAAGAATTAGAAAACTAAAATATAGATAGAAGATAGATGAAATCGGAATAAGTCGTTTTTAAGTTATGGCGTAGGTAGGTATATAATCTGCAAACTATTAATTTCATTTCATTTTCAGATTCGCCGACGACGTCTCTTTTTTATTTGGTCCTGTGTTGGCAAGCACATATTTGTTTCATCTTATTAGTTGCTGTCTATTGCTGCTGGAGTGCTCCCAATTAGTATGTTCAAATGTTACTCAAAAAACCGACCAAGTCCGAGTCGGGCTCGCAATAGAAGGAACTCTATAATATTCAAAACTATATCGAGCACAACAAGTTATTTTTTTTTGTATAATTTGCTTATAACGTGTGTGTGATGCGACAGCAAAAACTCCGGTTAAATTTAAAACGTGACTAAAATCGTTTACCTTTTCATCTTTAGGTATAAAGTTTAACTGACAATATTTCTAAAATGTTGTTTAATTAATAAAATAATTTCTATTTTCCGCTTAAGTAGACGTGGGCTACAGTAAGAAAATGATTTTCGAAATTTACACCCGGTTTCTGAAAGGTTGGTCAGCGAAAGCTCAACTAACAAGCCGTCCCGTCAAATCTATTATAACAGTGAATTAAGTTGCTGAAAACCTATTCAACTAAACAATTTGCCAATATGTCGACTGAGCTAAATTTAGATCAAGAAAAACAAAACGATGATATATAAACATAAACTTAAATCAAAACGGAGATGCACGCGATTTGTTGGAGTTAATGGTTTTTGTTTTAATAGCAGGATTGTATTTTTACTTGATTGTTGGCACAAAGAAGGTACCTTCATAATTTCAAAATCGGAATGCAAAGATAGTTAATATATCGCTAATTTGCTATATATTCGTTTAAAAAACTCAAATTGATTTAAAATTGCTGTTTAATTTACAAGATTTTTTAAACCGTGTGGTGATGATGAAATGATAAAATGACAAATTAATTTAAATACGGATTAAAATCATGTTCATAAAACACTTTCGCAAATTTATTTAATTTAATTATATTTTAAGCATGTACGTAACTGTTAGATATTTAATGTAAAGAAAATTCTAATAGAAAAATTCCACGCGGACCGGGCAATAGACGAGACTCGAACCCTCACCGTTCACTATCGGGGCGGATGTAGAAAGAAAGAAAGAAATTAAAAAAAGAAAAATAATTTTATTTGAAACAAAACAAACACATCTAATTTTTTTGTCTCAAAACGGTCCCAACTCAGTGTGATGCTGATGTTGCCATTAGCGCTGGTCTTCCGTTGGAACCGGCGACGAAACGAAACAATAACAGCAATAAAATAAACATAACAAAATTTAAAAATCCACGAACACAAGGAAATAAGAATGGGAGTGACAGTTCAGGGGGGCGCCACCGTCTACGCAAATGACATACGAAATATATGTCCATATTAACAGCTGCACCCGGAGCGCAGGTTCCGAACGCAAATACTACAAAGTACTGACCAATTATGTACTTGTAAAGGTATTTCGTTTGACATTGTGTGTTTGTTACTTACAATGCCAAAATGATGGCGCTACCTTGCAGCCTAAGAAAAACAAGAGGAAATTTAACACGGCCGTTAGGGCCGCGGTAGCATAAAATTTGTCAGTGCATCCGCCCGGAGAGTGGAGGGTGCGGGTTCGAGTCCCGCCTGCTGTCCGGCCCGCGTGAATTTTTTCCTAGTAAAATTTTGCTTTGATTTAAACCATTTAATTAATTTAAACAAGCTTATATCCCTAAGCTATAAGGTAGTTTAAATTGGCTCCCGCCAACATCATGAATTTATTAGGTACGTCCATGGTCAACATTCAAAAATAGATATATAAGTATGAAGTCGCAGACTTTCTTCAAATTTTAAAGGGAACAATTCCAATGGGTCCTTTAAGAAAGGCGTGAAGAATCATTTTTGCAGGCCAGCAAGGTGAGGATGGTTGGCGTGGCAGTTTATAACTGCTGTACCAGCTATCTTCGCATTTGGACTTTATTACCACTTAACATCAGGTGGGGTAGAATCATTTGCCTACCTGGCTATAAGAAACAACTTTGTTACATACTAGATTTTAGGGTTCCGTACCCCAAGGGTAAATTATTGATATATTCACAGAATATGTGGTTCTTTAGGTATTCACTATAAATAAAATAATAGGCTAGTTGACTCATGTCGAATTGTATTAAATAAATGTATATTTCTTAATTTGATCTAAGGAACCTAAATATATCGATTTCACTTCATAAAAGCAGAAGATTGCGGTAGAAATTTAATTTTAAAAAATATTTATAGTCTATATTTTTTAAACACTAAAAACACTGTTCACCTCCGCCATGATTGTGACGTCTCTTGTAGTAAACAACTAAATGTCGCGTGTTACTGTGGGTAGATTCTTTCATCTGACTAAAGTTGTCTTAAAACACTTTTAACTTAAGAAAAGTTTCCGTTTACTGTTTTTACAAAACGACAAAACTCATTATGGATGCCGGCTTTGTGAAAGCAGAAAGCACAAATCTGCCAAGAATTGACGCATTGATGGTTGGTGAATTTATTGCATTAAACCCCGATTTCTGCTCTGCGGAGCAGAGAAACAACATGGCATCTATGTAAGTACAGTGCATTTAGTTGTACATAAAACTGATACTGTTGTAGTTTATGGTTAAAATAAAAATATGATTGTCTATGTCAAGGGCCTCTGGCTCCAAAGAGTAACATAAGTCTCTTCTCCGGTATCCACCATAGCTTTAACATGTGAGTGTGCAATAAAAATATTAACAACGCCCCAATAATCCTTCATTCAAGAATCTACATAACTAACCTAAAAGATGGTGTCATAAGTGCAGCAGAAAATTTTCAAATAAAATAGGCGTGAAAGAGTCCCAAGTAAGTCGAATTTCTGCGATCAAAGTCAACTCTGTCATGGCGGACAAAGCCTTCATTGTCTCCTTGAAACCACGAAGCATACAAAATGGCGAAAACGCATCTGAGATATGGAAAAAGTAGAAACTTCGTTTTGAAATATTTAAGGATGCTAATGAAATTGCAAAATTTTCCGAATCAAAACAGGTAGTAATATTTCTTAATGTCATAGGAGACGACGGAATCGAAATTTTCAAAAGTTTTAATCTTGACAGAACGCAAACCAAATTAGAAGACGTGTTGAAAAAAAACCGACGAAAAATTCAGTCCTCACACTATTATTACTGTGGAAAGATATATATTTTTATAGTAGAATGCAAAAACCTGGCGAATCCTTGGATGAATATTTAACAATTATATTATTAATAATTTAGCAACCACATGTGACTTTGAAAATTTAAAACAATCATTAATAAAGGACATGCTCATCATAGGCATGAAAAATACATACATTAAAGATAGATTACTACAAGAGGAAGGCTTGACCGTTGAATCCTCTATGAAGATCGCAAAAAGCCTAGAGCTATCTCAGGAACGTTCCAACGAATTGATGAGACAGGATACAAAAAACCAAAAGGGTACAGGGAGTTAAAGAGCAACCACAGAGATACAGGTCAAGGTTAAGATCGAAAATACTAGATCGCTCAAGATCAAATCTAAGACAGAACTACCGAAACCAGTTGACACGGACTAGGAGTAAGTCAAGCACCAGAAATTGTACAAGATGTGGCCAGATACATAAATATAAATGCCCAGCGCAGGACAAAGTGTGCAACATTTGTAAGCAGACCGGACATTTTGCTTACTATTGCTTTTTCAGAAAGGATAAGGCGAACCATCATAAAGTGAGTAATATATCATATGAAAAATCAGAAAGCGATCGTTTTGTAATCAAGTCTATTCAAAATTCTAATTGTAAAACAGAAGATTGGCAAATTAATATTTACTGTAATAATTATAAGTTCAAATTTTAAATCGACAAATGTCATAAGTAAGAAAACATTACACAAAATTATGACTCTCACTCTAAAATTAAGATTTCAAGGACAAATAATAAACTGTTTTCTTTTTCAGGGGAAATAGTGCCAAAATTAGGCACATGTATATTAAATTGTGTATTTGAAAATGGAATAACCAAAAAATTGTACTTTGTTGTTGTTGAATGCGATTGTAAAACAATAATTGGCTGAAATTCATGCGAAAATCTGGGTTTTGTGAAAAGAATATTTGGAATCCAAGAAAGGTCAGTACAACAAATTGTTTCTAAATATGCTAAGACATTCGAGGGTCTCGGTTGTCTCTCACACAGGGCAAATATTAGCCAGGGCACACACATACTAGATATTGATAGTAGCGTCCCACCAAAGGTCTGTCCGATACGTAGAATACCATATTCTTTAGAAAAACGTCTCAAAAAGGAACTTAAAAACATGGAGGAACTAAAAGTCATAGAAAAAGTAGAAAAACATGCTAAATGGGTAAACTCGATTGTTTTAGTCGAAAAGCCAAATGGTAGATTGAGAATTTTTCTTGACCCTAGGAATTTAAATGAGGCCATAAAACGACCATACTATCCATATCCAACATAGGTACAGATTCCTTAGACTGCCATCCTCTCAAGCGGCCAGGCGCATGCGCCGCGCACCCCCTCAACGGCAGACCACCCACCGAGGCCCCCCGCGGGGTGGGAATGATTGCATTGCTTTGCCGATTTCTCTGTTATTTTGTAAGAATACCCTACACAAACTATATATATTTGGATTCTCCATAAAATTTACTATAAAACAGTGTCTAAACAATGCGGCATGTCTATAATCTATTTTAATTACGTTACGGTAAACTCGGGAAAGATAAAAAAAGGCGTTTAGAGGGTAAAATGGAGTATATTTTCAAAATTTCAAAATTTCATGTCCAGATTTTTGGTTATTTGCACATTCTATTATAACTTACCAAATAAAATCATAAAATACCATACACCCACAATTTAATTTTACACTACGGCTCTCATATTCCACGCGCCAGATGCGTAAACAAACGCGCGTGTTAGCAAAAACAAAGGTCAAACAAGTGCCGCGATAAGGATTAAACGGGCGTCTGAATTGCTGTGATTTATGTTATCCCATTAGCTCTGAGTGTTTAGATAACATTACAACCAAGATTGTTATGAATAACGTTTGTCCATTTTTTAGATTTAAGAACTTACAACGAGGCATTTAAAAATCTCCTACAAATCAGTCATCTCAGTTTTATGTAGTGACCGACCGAAACATGTTATTTTGCCGAAACCGAAACCGAAACCGAAGGTTCGGTTTCATTGTAGTTTCGGCCGAAACCGAAACCGAAACCGAACCTTTTATAAAAAAAAAGTCGAAAAAATGTTAGTAAGCCCGTTTTTTTTGTAAAATTAATGTCTCGCCGAGCTATAATTACAGGTTTCTACTTTCAAAGATTTATCACAATGAAATTACAGCACAGTTACAAAGGTTCTGTTTGAAAATTTAACTACCCTATAAAGTGAAAAAAATACATTACTTGTAACACAAAGTTAGCGATTTTTTAATGGTGGTATAAAATAAAACAAAGGAGATGGCTCAGCTTCCATACTTGTTTGGCCTAAAGACCAATAATCATAAAAAAATGTTTCCTAGATTCGAAATTATATATAAATTACTGTAGCAACGAATATTATTGACGGACACCCATAAGAACTTCTACAAACCATATACACTGAATGATTTTGAGGTTATGTTTGCAAATAGGTACTTAAGTATTAAAATAATAAAAAACAAATAAGTTATATAGTAAGCTAGGAAAATCAAGCCAAGTACAGAAATTATGTATTAGATTCAGGTACATAAAGCATGTAGATTAAAAGATAGTTGCCTGTTTTTAGTTAATGCACAAGAGTTACTTTTAAAATCAGGTATCATCTATGCATATCCGGTTATAATAACTCTGTGACAGAAACTGTGTGATGATTGTGAATGAGCCACAGATTAGAGAGAATTTTTAAACTCTCGTTAACCAAAGAAAGCTAAGAGATTTAGGTTACAGCTACATCTTCAGTTGCGTCATTATTTTTGTTATGTTTATATTATAACCATATTTTAGATTTTTGGTGTATCACACCTTATAATGTGTTTATGGAGGTGTTTGGCAAAAATGTATGGCAATAGACTTTATGATGTCGCCTACCATCTATAATAATTGTCTTAGCACATTTTCATGTAGAGAAAATGATAATATAATTGTGGATATTAATACCACAGTGTAAAAAAAAAAATATTTTATCCATCTTTACAAAATATATTTGTTTTGATGTTATATAAACAACTTCGATCTGTCTTTGGCTGAATGTTACTACACCCATAGCCATTAAAAATTATTCGTATATTTTCCAAACCGGTAAAATTAAAAGTCCTTTTTAAAATGAATATATTGTACAAAAGTGTCCGTTAAAATCTAATGACTGTAAAACAATATTGTTTGTACATTTGGGCTAATTTGAACAATCTCCTTTATTATTAAAATATGATGCTCATATATGTTTATTTATTTTCAGTTACTTACATTTTAATTATACTCACAAATATCACAATCAGTTAGCCTCGAATGGCTAATTCAAATATGCCTATTTAGATAATCAAAATAATCAAATTGATCACCTTTGGTAATCATTTTAGCGAACCTTTTATAGTAACAAATCTATACTTATACTTTTTATTTTTTATAACTAATTATCTAATTAAAAATAATATAACGTCTACACGAGCAAAGCGCACTGATTTAGGTAGTTACCGGCGGAGTCAGGCGAGCGACGCCATATTGCCAGCCGTGCCGAGCGCGCCCGACGTTAGCCGAGCGCGACCCGAAGGTACGATGTTGTAAGTTTCGGCGCGGCCGAAAGGTTCGGCCGTTTTTGGCCGAAACCGAAACTCGGGCCGAAACTTGATTTTTTGGCCGAAACTGGCCGAAACCGAAACCGAAACCGAAATTTCGGTCGGACACTAGTTTTATGTCTATAAAACGAAAAGTATTAAATTTTGATAAACAACTTTTTTTATCAAAATGTACGCGAAAGTTGTTTTAGAATAAACAAAAACTAATCACTAGTTCACATACAAGAAAATAATATAAAAAAATATTTCGTTCGTGTATTTGAATTTCGAACGTCCGTTCCACCGCGCGGATTTTGTTTTTTTTTTATTTCTTCAAAATTACGAACTCAAAAGATTCTTTGTATTCGAAGTATTAATCATGAATTAAAAATTAAAACATTACAATTATTATCGAAATTATCAAATGAAAACATAAGGTAAGTACCCCTAAGTTTTCGCTGATTTTTTTACGACCGCGTCTGCAAAAAAATTCTAAAAAAAAATTCACGGAGACCCGCAAACGAAACATCAAAATAGAGTAACTAAATGTATTTAACTTAACCAGGCATGGTGTTTTTTTCTTTAAAACCACTCAAAAGCACTTAAAATAGTCTGAATACACGGCATATTTTTTTCATACAAAAAACGGCGAACGACGAACTTTGACAGATAACATATAATGGGTATTAATATTTCATATGGCAGTTGTTTTAATCAATAGCTAGATAGCTAGCCCGTTTTTTCCTCTAAAAATTGATATAAGAATGTAGGTGATAGCCAAATAAATGTAGAATGGGGCACCAGTCCGACTTTCGTAAGGTAAATCGACCGACTTTCGGTCGCGTAGCGCAAATCGGGATAATGACAGAAACCGAAAGTCGGTCGCGTGCCGCGCGAGGGTATTAACTCATCTGATGAAATTTTCCATAGGACTATGAATAAATTGTTCGGAGACTTGCCTGGTATAATAATCTTTGTCGATGATGTACTGGTTCAAGGGTATACTGTCGAGGAGCATAATGAAAGACTCGAAACTTTATTTAAACGTGCTTTCGAAGTCAACCTAAAGATTAATAAGTCGAAATGTCAATTTGGTATGTCTAAAATTTGCTATGTCGGTCATATTTTTAACAAAGAAGGTGTATCACCTAATCAGTCTAAAGTCGAAGCAATTTCTAAAATGTCTAGTCCAACTAATGTCAAGGAATTTCAACTGTCAAGATTTTTCGGTATGATTAATTATTTAGGATCTTACATACCAAACCTCGCAGAAGAAACTTCTCTTCTGAGAGAATTGCTCAAAAAACATATTAAATGGCAGTGGTTAGACCAACACGAACAACAATTTAGAAAATTTAAACAAATATTATGTCAATCACCAGTCTTAGTCCACTATAACATAAATAAACCAATAATAATAATAGTCCACTATAACATAAATAAACCATGTGTCGATGCTTCACAGCATGCAGTAGGTGCAGTTATTTTACATGATAAACACCCTATAGCTTATGCCTCAAAGTCCTTAAATAAAATTCAGATGAACTATGCACAGATAGAAAAAGAACTTTATGCAATAGTATTTGGATACAAGAAATTTCATCAATATTTATACGGAAAACCCATTTATGTTGAAACAGACCATCAACCATTAGTTACCTTATTCAAGAAACCTTTAGCTGAAGCACCAACCAGATTACAACGTATGATGATTACTTTGCAGGCTTATCACTTGATTGTATCTTATACAAAGGGCTCAGAAATGAACCTACATATCTGATACATTGTCTCGTGCCCCAGTCAAAGACAATAAATTCAACAAAGAATTAATTAGTTTAGAAGATTTAAATTCAAATATTAATATTCACATAAATTTATTAACTTCCAACTTAGCTATTTCTCCAAATAAACTTGAAAAAAATTTTGTGTCATACTAACCAAGACTTAGTCTCTAAAAAATTAAAAGATTATTATCAAAATGGCTGGCCAAATTGCAAACATCAATTGTGATAAATTAACATTGCCATACTGGAATATCAAAGCGGAAATCCATGTCATTAATGATATCATTTTCAAAAATAACTCGTCATTGCGTACTGAAATTCTGAATATCTTACATGAGGGACATCAAGGTATTGAAAAGGCCAAGAAATTAGCAAGAGGAGTAGTTTATTGGCCCAATGTAAATCAGAATATTGAAAATTAGGTTATACAGTGTGAATCATGTGCTATTTATTCTGCAAATAAAACAAAAGAACCAATGTTATCACATGAACAACCCTTATTCCCTTGGCAAAAATTGGCTACAGATCTTTTTGAATACAAAGGTAGGAAATATTTGTTAGTGATAGACTATTATTCTAAT